GAGGTTAATTTCTCTAATGTGAGATCAATAAAGTTCAATTATGTTCTCTATGCTAAAACAAGTCTTTATTTTCGTCTACTCAATAAAGCCTCGAACTTAACGCTAATTCTGACATTTTGAATTGAAAAAGCTTCCTGGATGGGAGGGGAAATATCTTCAAACTTGGAAACAAAGTCCAGTGGATTGTTTTTTTTTTGGAATTTTGCTTTGAATTTCTAAAATAATTTCAGTTGGAACCGCACATGACAAGTAATATATTATATAGACATGCGAGTTTATGGTTTTGATAGAGGAGATAAAGTTCAAGTGGTTTAATTTCCCCACCTTTAGTTTTGGATTCTTATTTGCGTTCTGATGAAACACCTTTTATAGCAACACTTACCATACCGGTGACCCCTCCAGGTATGTAAACACCATTGATTATCATGTCTTCCTCTATGTCACGGGCTGTTCCTGGAGCAGTTGGATAGATCCTCAGAGTCTCTTTCAGCACCTGTGGAACAATAATAAACATCAATAAAACTTCTTAAAGCTATAAGACAAGACAGAAGAAGAAGCAAAAGAAGAAAGTGTTTAAAGAAGCAGCTTTAAAAAATTACCTGTGAGAGATAGACCAGTTTCCCGAGGTCATCATTTCTTATTTCTTGTTTCATCCCAATAACATCATCCACTTCTTTCTTTGCTCTATAAGTTTAAACACAACATAAAACATAAGGTTCACCAACTATACCACAAGGAATGGTGAACTTTAATTTAGTTCTTACTTCTCCAGGATTTCAGGATGTCTTCCAAGTTCCATGACGCAAAAAGCGAGTTGATTGGCTGTTGTTTCTTGACCTAGAAAAGCACAATTTTAGCAAAGCTGAACAGAAAGCATCACATTAAAATGACGCTGAACTCAATATAGATGAGTAAACAGAAAGGTGGGGATAAGGAGTGTTAAAAAAGATCATATGTTAAATCTCTCTCTAAATGTGATTTACTCAGGATGACAATTTGTGGGCCACCAATCCTAAAATTACTGGCTGATATTAACCAAATGTGTGGCAGAAAACTCTGGAATCCTAAGCATGTCAATTGAAAACTGCAATGTAAACCCGAATGCTCAAAATAATTAATCAAAATAAGTAAAGTGAACTTAAAATCCTCTTAGAAGTTCTACTTACTTAAAAATGTTGAGTGCCAATAGCTTATTCCCTCTTTTTCAGTTACTTAAAGTTGCAATTTTTGATTAACATGAGCTTTTTGCAGGTTAAATAACTGTTACTTAAAAAAAATCACTCAGAGTTACTTAAAACTATGTGGGTTAAATATTATCTTATGGCTTGTTTTTGTTTTTTGTTTTTAAAGAACTGAATAAATCAATCAAATTCAGATAGATTTAAATTTGTGAGGGTACAAATTCTCAAATTCTCCTCTCTCTCGCTCTCTCTCTCTCTCTCTCACTCACACACACACACACACACACACACACACACACACACACACACACACACACACACACACACACACACACACACACAGAGTAAATTCGGCTTCGGAAAATAAACACCCTGCCTAGATGTAGTCCAGAGCATCCTCTTTATCTCTAATATGACATTATTTACTTTTATAATTTTTTTAGGATTAAATCATATCTTAGTATGCAGGGATAAATCCATAAACCAGCCATATATTATTATAGAACGTAGGGCAGGATTAGTCTATGTTTAACCCAGCAAGTCTAGGAGTAAAGAAAGCATCATGTCCACCAGAGATGGGAAGTAACGAAGTACAAATACTTCGTTACTGTACTCAAGTAG